TTTCACTGTGTTCTGCCTGCTGCAAAGTAATGAGATCTGCCCTGTGGCCTTGAATACAGTGTGGTGGGAAGAAAAAGTAGAAACTCTTAGGTTCTCTCTGGATTTTGTATAAGGAAAAGAAAGTTTTGGTTTTTTTTTAAAGATTTATTTGTTTATGCATACAAAACTGGGGTACAGGCCAGAGGCTCAGGGACAATGAGAGGCTTCACCAGAGAAAGAGTGGGGAGCAGAACAGGCTGACTGACGAAGTACACTGCTGAGGCGAGCAGCAGGCGGGTCAGGAGAGGTCTGCCACGCCATGTGGGTCCCTGGCGGGGATCTAACTCATGCTCAAGTGGCTTTAGCTTCTTAGTCCTGTCCTTTAATCAGGGAGGGCCCAGAAAAGAAAGTTTTTTAAACCTTGTGTGTAGCATTTGAAGTTATTACCGTGTACAATATCGCCTACTTTTAAAAAAATAATAATAAGACAATTGGAGCTCCCTGTTATTTTCAAACATAGAATCCATTTTCCTTCAGAGTTACAACTGATACATTGATTTGTGGTGTCTGTCCCCCCTTCCCACTCCCCCCCCACACACACTATATACTGATGAACATGAGGACCATGTATGTCTTATTTGCTCTTTCATCAGCACCACAGATCTGGTACTCAGGTGTCACTGTCCCTTAAATGAATAAATTGGTGACTGTGTAAAGGAAGGAATGAACAAATGAACCAACAAACACACAAGCAGGTGAACGCAGCTTCCCACTGTGTGGCTAGGCGAGCGGTTGAATCGCCCATAGACAGCTGATGTGAGGAAAGGAGCGACACAGAGAGCCCGGCTGGCCTGTCGCTGGCGGTGAGCTGGGCCAGAGAGAGCTAATCCGAGGGAGGACAGTGACTCATTTGGGACCGAGAAGAAGAGCCAGGACTTCAGCACCCCTAGCACCTACAGTATCGTAACCTCGCGCCTCAACTTCTCTCCTGGGCTCTTTGAGGTGACACCTCCTTCTCTGTGTGGCTGTTAATAAGACTTGGGTGCCCAGGAATGAATCTCTGAGGCTCTCTGGTGACAGTGCATCTTTTCATGGCGGCTTGCTTGAACTCCGAGGGAAGTGGCAAGTATGGGTCTATGGTGAGGAAGAGACTTAGCTGTTTAGGTTGTTGGAATCTAGAGAAATGCTCAAGAACAGTGGTCATTGTCTCCTACAAAGTCCAGGAAGTCCCAGGTATCTCCCTCTCTGATTGGCACTGACCTTGAAGGCACCTCAACTGAGCAGCCACAAAAGGCTGGCGGGGTGCAGCCCAGCTTCAGGTGGCAGCTGGACTGGAGTTGGAAGCCGAACTGTCCACTACTCAGGGTCTCACCCCATGCAAGCTACGTACCTAGCTGAGCCTCCCCCAGCATTCTCGTCTGGAAGATAGCAGCCCGTGGGCAGCAGTAAGTGAGAACGGGAAGGTTTCTCTCCATGCTGTATCTGCCAAATGGACTGAGCGTGGTACGCAGAATTCTGTAAAGATTACTGCACGTAATACTAGTAGCAACCGCTGGAGTTGGCTATAACTAAGGTCCTTGCTTTGCAGATGAAGAAACTGAGGCACAGAGATGCTAGAGCCACATAACTCTCATACAAAGCCCTTTTGCCACTGGCATCTGCTCCCTTAACCCTGGGCGCAAGTCCTAAGGTTTGCTTAGCTTATTCATGGTTTCTGTTCTATGCCTGTTGGCGATATAGAAGAAAAATTCACGATTGTTGAATTTTTAAGATAGCAGTAGCTTTTCAGCAAGACCAGAGCAGACTAGTGCATCCCTCTTGTGGCCCCTAATAGAACCGTGTGCCTTTGAGTGTTAACCTTTATAATCAGACTGAGTCATCACTGTGCATTTGCACGTTAAGTCAGCTGTCGCTGATGGCTTGGCTACTCCATGTAGGTAACTCTGTGAAGAAGATTCCTTAAGTTCATTTTCTTTTACATGGGATTGTTCATGGTGTGTGTGTGTGTGTGTGTGTGTGTGTGTGTGTAGAGGGAGGGAGAAAAAGGAGAGAAAGCACAAAAAATTTCAAGAGCATACTATGCACATATACGGAAGCAGCTGGCTGTGCTTGTAAATCAGAAACTGTATGTTTCTGAAACCAACCTTGTCTCATAAAAAGCATTACAGTTTCAATAAATAAATCAGAAATGGGAAAATCGTGAAGTTCTTTGAAGTTTGCCCAGAACCGGCCCCACATCCACCTGTCCCTCTGGGGCTGGGAGTTGGACGGCCTGACGCCTCTACTATGGCGCAAGCTGTCGCTGCCCTGGAATGTTCCAGCTTGCTGTTGCCTGGCTGTCATGGCTGGTTCTGGCCCGCTCCGGCGCCTCACCGGCTTCTGTTGGACACCAGACTTCCAATTAGACAGAAATCCCACTGTGTGGCCAGCCCCGCCAGTGCCACTCTGCGCCGCCCCTTTGCCAAGCCCGCGCTGACCTCTGATCTGTCACAGATGGGCCAGTCCCGCGCTCCTTTGTGCACGTCTGGAGGAGGGGGGTGGCGATGAGGAGGGGAGCCCGTGGGGAACCTGAGTGGACATTGGGCAGAAGTGCAGCTCCTCGGAGCTTGGAGAAGCTGGGCAGAGTTGACAGGACCCAAATGCCAACTTTGCGGAGGGAAAGGGGACTTTGGGAAGACCCTGTTCTGAGCCCTCCACTCGGCATGGGGCAGTTTCTTACCAACTTCTGAATATTCATCTCAGGCTGGACTCCACACCGAGGACAGCCAGAAGCAGCTAACAGGCTCGCTCCAAAACTGTCACGCAGCTGATGGCGAGTGGCACAGCCACCTCCTTGCTGCCCACTGCAGGGCCTGTGTGATCTCGCCAGCCCAGGCGCCCAGACCCAGGGGTGGTGCTGTCAGCAGCTCTGGCCGCAGCCCGTGTTCATCACATGGAGCCGGAGTAAAAAGCAAGCTCATTTTTTCTTACTAGCATGAGAAATGGAATCTTAGCGCATTCTACTTTTAATTCTAGAGAACTGCGATACCGAGAAAGAGTCTCCAAGCTGCACACAGCTCCTTCCTAAACAGAGGACTTGCTCAATGTGGATCTTTATTTTGGGGTTGGTGTAGTCTGTATTTCCCCGCCCCCTTTTAGTAATCTCTTTCACTCTGTGTCTAATATTCGATGCGTCTGCTTCTCCCTTGAATGTTCTCCTTCAGCTTCAGCCTCAGGAACCCTGCAGTTGGAGGCAGTAATCAAGACACCAGGCTCGGAAGTGACCTTTGTATACTTGGGCCCTCACTTGATCTGAGCAACCACAAGGTCTAATTAACAAATAGCTTAAAGGCGGCAAAGGTCTTCCGAGCTGTTCTTGGGCTGAGTCTTAAAAACACAGCCACAGCCAATCCAGACGTGGAAGCAAACCCGGAGGGTCTCATCATCATTCTTTTCTCCTTGTAATACTTGCAGTTGGTTTGGGAATTTCCTGCCCCGTCTCTCCCTTTTTTCTCTATGTTCACTCTGTCTGGTTATAACGTGCGAAACCCCTCAGCCAGCTAGTGGTACTCATTTGCAGAAGGACATGCTTCTTCAGGGTGTCAGGTTCTCCCTGGGAGAAAATGGACTGTTTTTAGTACCTGCAGCAGTTGCCATAATTACAGTGTTCTCTCCCATTTTCTCTATTTGCCCGACTTCTGTTAGGCTGATAAAAGAAATGGCCTCGTGGCCCTCCCTGGTGGCCAGTGGGTTAAAGCATTGCACTGAGAAGCTAAAGCCACTTCCGCGTGAGTTCGATCCC